GCTGAACCCAATTTAGTTGTCATACCCCCCCACATCTTGCAAGTAACCTGAACACAATTAGTTTTTAACATCATGATGCACTTCATTTTTTGAAAATGGGAACTTCAAAGAAATTAACATGCATCAGATGACAGAGTCTTGCCAGTTCTCATACTTCTATCAGAACACAGAAGTATCAGGAATTAAGCCTCAGCTCTTGGAAACAATTAGACAAAAGGTCGGTTTGCAGTATCAAGAGCTTTTGTTCTGAAAAACTGTGGGGAAAAAAATGTAATAAATCAGATCAAGTATATTTTACAGTCATGTACAAATAAAGACTCCCAAATACATTTAAGTAAAGAGCTTGGTTTTCCTTTTAAAGGAATTCAATTTTTGCTCACTTTAAGAAGTGATATACAGTCAATCCAAATACAATCATTTAAGTTACAAGTGAGGGGAAGCAGAGATAACGCTGAACAAAATAGATTTTCATAACTCATACACAGTAGCATGAAGTATTCAAGTTAGCCCGACTATAGCATATTACTTACTAATACGGTTCTCCATTTCTTAAAAACTGTTCTTGCTCCTTGAGACCAGCACTTGCCTTCAACTCCTTCACTATTACCCTTGCTACACTAGTACCTGTGTAGATCTCTCCAAGCAGAACCTGAAAAATGAGAACCATTTTTGCCTTTAATCAGAGGAAAACATATGGAGTTGCTTTACAAAGAAAAACAAGAGCTTCTATATGCATGCTATAGGAAAGATTTTGTCTTTTGTCAGTGCATGTAAAGCTTTGATAATTAAGCACCCATACTAAGTCTGACAACTATGATCTCCTTATCAATTTTCAAAAAAAAAATGTTTTTGGTGAAGACTATTTATTTACGTTCAAGATTTTTCCCTGAGAAAGAACTAGTAGTAACAGCAATCTATTAATTCAGTCCACAGAAGTGACATGTCAAGCTAGTAAGTAACTCTAAGAAACTTGAATCAAATTTAAAAAAAGCTAATCACAGCTACAAAGTGCATGCAAAGTTGTTCTTATGCTATTACTTTTTTGAAATAGTATCATTTAAAGGAAATACAGTAGTCTACTTAGCTAGGAATAAAACTCAAACTGCAGTACAACAGCATTAAAGGAAGACATCTCACCTTTCCAAACCAACCATTTCCAATCTCTTGGATATAGTTTAGACTCTGACGCGAAACTTGAGACTTTGATCCCTCTGTCACGCACAACAATAAAAAAAAAGAAAGAAAGAAAAACACAAACCACTCAGATGGACAAAGTTACCTATACAACTGTTGAAAAAATAACACAAGCTCCTACAACAGTTGTTCCAAATTACATGCACACATTCAGGCTAAAGAGCATAAGACAGTCAGACATGCATACAGTATTAAGGTAACACTGTGACAGAAACACTGAGCAGAGTAAAACATTTCTCAGCTTCTAAACAACCTGCTTCAGAACATCCCCCTCCAAAAAGGATACACAGTGATTTGGCATATGACATCTAAGTGTTTGGGGTTTTTTAATAGTTCGCTAAGACAGCAAAAAGGCTGAGTTTTAATTCCAATATAAAAGTGTATTGTATACCATAGTTGGGTATAGTAAATAACCTGCTTACAAAAGTTTTCTACATGAATGAGAGAACAAACCCAACACAGCACCTATCGCTTTTGCATTTTAACACTTTAGTTACATAGAGAATTATAATTTTCAGAGAAAGGTTTCTACTGCTTTGCTCTTCAGCCCAACTGCCCTACTTATAGCTACTTATTATATACTTACAGCTGCTATTGGAAAGGAGGACATTTTCTGACTAAAAATACTTCATATAAAGAGCCCAGAGAGGCAAAGGATAGAAAACAACATGCAACAAGATCCTGGCAGAGGCTTGGTAGTAGCAACAGTAGACTCGGTACTATAGAGAAGGGTCAGCAGCATCTATCTTCCTGCTGTCTAATTCGTTAAACAGAGGCACAAAAATCATTTACATCCTTTTTAGTTGTCCCTGATTGAGAATCACAGGCCACTGTTTTACTATCACAAACCAGGTTTACATCAGGATCATTCTACCAGAACAGCTATACTGGAATAACACACTGTCAACAGGCTCCTAAGTATGGAGAAGGGTGCATCAGCAAAGCTACACTTTTACCAGTGCATCTTACTCAACTGCTTCCAAGCAAAATAGCGTGACAAAAGCATAGTTTTACCAATTATATCAATGTAGAAGAGCTGGCACAAGATACGATTTTTCACAAACAGATATTTTTCCTCACTCACTAAAACACTGGTGAGTAACATTTCTTTTGTATTACAAAACACACTGACATGTAAAATTGCTACTAGCTACTGAAATTTAACTAGAAACTTCTCTGAACATCTAATGTTACGTAATGCAAGTAATACATGTAAAGACTGTATACGAAGTGATATAATGTGAACACAACTACTTTATGCTAAACTATTCCTGTAATATTCAAGACGTTTGTTTCCTTTTACAGAAACTTTGCCTTTTCAAGAATACATTCCAAAAAACTTATTTTGCACAGGCAAAAGAAATCTAATGCTCTCTCATACCAGTATCACATTTACAGCATGGAAAGTTTACAGTCACATTAAGAAAGTGATGCAGCTGAAACAGTAGCACAGCTGTCATAAGAGATTCACTCCTGCTTCCATTTAAGGCCAATGGCTAAAATCCAATGACAACTCAGCCATGAAGATAAGCACTAAATAGCATAAGTCACAAACGTCCTAGAGGACTTCAAACCCTTAAAGTATACAGATGTATAAAGAAAGTAGTCTAGAGAAGCTTATATAAGCAAGTTTCATTCTTTGAAGCTACCTTATATGGCACCTTGCCATCAGTTAGCAGATTTCTGAAGAACTGCATTTCATCCTAAACTGATAAATATATTTTGTAGAATTTAAGTAAATTGTAATTGGACTCATTTAGCGAAGAGTCAAGCATAATCAATTCTACTCCATTTCAGACACTAAATTGCCTTCTTCTAGCTTCTCATTAAAAAAAAATTGGTCTATTTTACCTGAAAGAGATGGAAACTGGGAGGGAGTTGGTAAAGCAATACTGGGAACTGAAAGAGTAAACACTTCTGCTGGAGACTGAACAGAGGGAGTATCTTCCGCAGGAGGTGTAAAGTCTATTTCATCATCAAAGTTATCTTCAAACTCCTGCAAAAAAAATCTTAGTAAATAAACTATTTCTTTTCTTAAAATTAAGACTAATACATTTCTTTCTTAGCTTTATATCTGAACATACAAACTTGATTATATTAAAAGAACCTGCTAGAGGTAAAACAGTAAATCATGATCCATTATAAAGTGAGAGCCTGATTTTTAAGGCAGATTTAAACCAAATGATTATTAAAAAACCTAATGAGCTGAACAATTTTACTCTTTAACAAAATGTTTAAAGCATTTCATTTGAATGAGCAATATGGTAAGGAGGTTCAATTTCTGGTGGATATGTACCTTCAATATCCTTATTTGAGAGGAATGCATTAAATCCTGTCATTATTTTAAAAAACAATAAATTAAAAGAAAACATGGGAAAATATAGGAAGAAAGATCTTTAACTACAGTAAATTTGCCTCAAGTGTACACTTTATTACGAATCCCACTAAATAGTACTGATTTTGAAAATACAAAGATCCCTACTGCAGCCTGGACCAAGTACTGAAAATTACTGGCTGCAGCAATGTTTTACAGCATGCAGATAGACAGTTATTGGCTATTTCAGAAGAGAAAATATACAGTGACATAGAAGGGTCAATAACTGCAGACTATTAGTGTAAGTAATCAGGTATTACGGATATCAGAAGGCAGCCAAGAATACCACTTTGTATATACATGTGTAGCTTCAAATGCTTACCTTGAAATCTATCTCAGGATCTTTACAGCAGGAGACACAGTTTGCAAGCAGTATTACCAGTACTACTAGAGTACATAGAGACAGAATCACAAAAGGTGAGGAAAATTCAGCTGTAGCTCCTTCTCCTAGAGATTAAGACACATGTAGCGTTAAATATATTGGAGCATTTTAAAAACGATCTTCAAAATAGACGTTATATCAACCTGCATTTATTTCAAAACTGGAGTTTGAAAATTTAGCTCTATGATATGATCAAAAATAAAAGAGGATAGAAAGGAAATTTTGACA